GAGCTAGTATAGCCCTGAAACATGTCCCTAGTGTGTGGAATGAGACTAGGATAGTATTCATTCCCAAGCCGGGAAAAACCGGTTATATAAAACCAAAAGACTTCCGTCCTATAAGCCTCACATCCTTCATCCTGAAGACCCTGGAGAGGCTGGTGGATAGACACATCAAGGCCGGGCCCTTGGCTGACAGACCCCTCTCCCCCTGTCAATATGCATACAGAGAGGGACGATCAACAGATACCGCCTTACATCACCTGGTGGGACTGATTGAGGGACAACTGGCGGTCAAGGGTTTTGCCATAGGCGCCTTTCTGGATATTGAGGGGGCTTTTGATAGCACTTCGAATCCGGCTATAGAAAAAGCCATGGAAGAACGACAGGTGTCCAAGACTATCATTGCTTGGACACAAAACATGCTGAAAAGCAGAAGACTGTCGGCAGGACATGGGAGGGTATGTGTGGAGGGACGTCCGACTAGGGGCTGTCCGCAGGGGGGAGTTCTCTCGCCCCTGCTATGGAACCTGGTTGTAGATGGACTTCTAAATCAACTAAGTGAGGCCGGCTTCCACGTCATCGGTTTCGCCGATGATGTGGCAGTTGTTGTGAAAGGCGGATTTCTGAGGGTGCTAAGGGACCTGATGGCAACAGCCTTCAATATCATTGAGGACTGGTGCAGGGTAACTGGCCTATCGGTAAATCCAGCCAAAACAACAATCCTGGTTTTCACCAGAAATTATAAACTGGAAAAGATCCAACCTCTGAAGCTAAATGGCTCGGAGATTAACTACACCAGCAGAGTGAAATATCTGGGTGTCCTCCTGGATAATAAACTCAGCTGGAAAGAACATATCTGTACTCAGAGAAATAAAGTGTTTGCCTCTATGTGGGCATGCAGGAGAGCTGTGGGCAGGACATGGGGACTCAATCCTAAAATGATGCTCTGGCTCTACCAAATAGTTCTACTTCCGAGACTGTTATACGCTGCGGTCGTTTGGTGGCCGAGGGTGAGTAAGACGGAAACAAGGAACCTGTTGAAAAGCCTACAGGGAACCTTCCTGAGGGCTGCAACAGGAGCCATGAAATCGACACCTACTGAGGCGCTAGAAATAGCACTCAGTATCCCACCCCTCGACCTTAGGGTTGTGAGTTGTGCTACCACAACTGCATATAGACTAAGGTGCCAACTAGAATGGAAGATGACGGGCCAAGGCCATACAAGGCTTAGCCTAATCAATGATCGACCCTTCATAGGTAAGACGGATAGGATTCCTAGGAAGTATCAGATCAGGAAAACTTTCAGAACGAGTATACCACCCAGACAGGAGTGGCTAGACTCGAAACGTAAACCAGGACCAAGAGAGGACTACTGGTTTACGGACGGCTCTGGCTTCAATGAAAGTTTTGGGGCAGGCATCTACCGTCTGAAAGATGGCTTCGGAGAGAGTTTTCCGCTGGGCCATCATTCAACCGTCTTTCAAGCAGAGATGCTGGGCATACTTAAGTGTGCAGAGTATCTGAACGCGAGAGACACAAAAAAGATGAAAATATTCATCTGCAGTGACAGCCAGGCGGCGATACACGCCCTGGAAAAACCCACTACAGAGTCACAGGTGGTGTGGGAATGCATGCAGGCATTGGACACACTGGGTAAAAACAACCGGGTCACCGTAACCTGGGTGCCAGGTCACCATGGGATTCTGGGTAATGAAGAGGCAGATAAGCTGGCCAAGGAGGGTACAGAAAGTGTGCCCTCACACGGCCTGCTTGGCATGCCCTTCGCAGTGGGAAAAACTCTTATTAAAGATCATTTCCAGCGGGATCATGTCAGGCGTTGGGAGAAAGTTGCGACCTGCAGACAAGCGAAACTGCTTATGAGAGGGCAACTAAGAGTTAGGACCAGAAAGCTTCTGGAGTTGCACAGAGGGGATCTGAGGGTAGCAGTAGGGCTCCTTACGGGTCATACAGCTCTCAGAGCTCATCTGTTCAAGATGAAACTTGCAGAACAAGAAGACTGCAGACTGTGCGGAGGCGATAAGGAGGGCGTCATCCACATTTTATGTGAATGCCCCCTATTAGCACTCCGTCGCTATAAAATCTGGGGCCAGGCTTTCCTGAAACCAGAGGACTTACAACAAGCGGCTGTCACCAGCCTTATTAGCCTAGTGAGAAACACAGGGCTGGGGCTGTGTGACTGACCGAAACTAAGGCGGAAGTTACAAAAGATCGTATGATTTAGGTGACTCTGGGCGCTTTAAGTGACCAGCCGCACTTTTTCTATTCTATTCTATTCATTCACACGTCTTGACATTCTTTGTCAAAATTATTGCGACGACATGATTTGCGATAAAAGAATTTGCGAAAAAAAAAAAAAAAAAATGTTTTCCGATTTAATGTTACATGATCATACAACTTTGGAAGTTCCAGCAGAATAACTTATAATCGAACATTTTCAAGAGCAAATGTTGCTTGTTTTTAATTTTTGCAATACACAAATTATTTTGAGCAACGTCTCATAAGGGCGAACGATAAAAGTAAGTGAGAAGTTCGAGCATAAGGATCTCATAGAGATAGAAAGATCAATATTTTTGACTAATGTCGTCCGAAAATAATTCGTTTGAAGTATTTCATCACGAGAGTTGTTTTATCGAAGTTTTCTCTCCATATTTTCATGGACAAAAAATCGCGTAATGTGGAATCTTATGAACATTATCACCATCACTCTCAATGATATGCAAACTTGTATTAAATTGTAAGCACCATAGCGTGGTATTTTTGAGATTTTGACCGTTCAGCAGTGGTTGGGATTTTCCAGATGAGAAGTCACTTTATTGGCGAGAGTCATTTTATCATTATTTTGGACCTTGATTAATGCGTTTTTGTTTGCATCGAATCGTTGTCTTACCGCTCAACGGACCATCGTGGGATCGAGACCGGATCATCGCGGGATGGAGTCCGAATCTTCGTGGGATACTCCGATAACCTTCCTTAGGGTCTCGGCTACAGTGGAGTATGAGACATTAGGCCAGAATATTTTTGAATGGTCCCGCACAGGATTGAGTTCACCTGGAAGACCGAGTAGCGGCGACAGGATATGGAGTCGAAAAATTTGGGACTCAGACGACGATCTCATCATCAGACAAAGAAATTTCGGACTGGCTTTACATATCCAGAAAGATAACAACTGATGATGACAATCATTTAGCATTTTTGGTTTTATTGATATTTGTTTTTGTTTTATGAAATATTCACCCCGCTAAATATTATATCGCGGGCGTGAAATCATTGTTGAAATTTCCGTTGGCTATGTTTCGGTACAATTTCAACGTCCAATCAGAGCGGAGCGGTTGTCCTGGCGAGGCAATCATTTGGTCATCTTATTTTGGAGCGTTGTCGCATGAGTTTGTGATACCGACAACGGTCACTTCTCGTTTGAATACCAGACACATCGCTGTGCGAACATTCGGCTCATCTTATAATGGTCGATTTTTTATTCGGACACTGCTGTCGGTACCCCAGGCTCTACTGAAGGCTGTTTTAGACATTTTGGGGAAGGCTTGAGCTCAGATCTACCGTCATCGGAATTTAAGTGATTGGTGAGCGGTGGATTTATTTTGAAGTATTAAAAGTGTCTCACAAGGAGTAAGTTTGGCATTTGGCTTTTGATAAACGCTTGGTCCATGGCGATTGACGCCATTGGAGTTCGTAATATTTTTATGCCGATGCTTACCCTTTGTTCGGCAGAGTCATTATTTTCGGGTCCCATTTCTGATTAAATTGTTCGGTGAATTTATGGAATTTGTATCTTATTGCTCCGGATAGATTTCAGTAAATGTCAGTGGATTTATTTCGAAGTATTAAAAGTGTCTCACAAGGAGTAAGTTTGGCATTTGGCTTTTGATAAACGCTTGGTCCGTGGCAATTGACGCCATTGTGATTCTAATAGGTGATTTTGTTGACTCTTGTTTAGCCTCCGCCGCATATTTAATATCGAATTTCGGGTATTGCGGCGGTTTGAGATCTAGAGGTCAGTAATATTTTTCTCTCGAGGGATTTGTAGTATTTCTCTCGGCCTCTGAAAACCTAACTTCATCGCATTGAATTTTCAGCGTATTCGTTTAGAGACCGATGAATTATCGTAGGTTTTTTCAGAGGCATTATAGCGTTCTTTGGCGCTCGAGTTTTTGTCTTATGACGGGTGAATTTTAGTAAGTTGCCGGCTGTGTTGTTTTCGTTTCTCGAGGCAAGGCCCCTCTCAATAGCCTGAAGAGTTAGATTCTCATTCTCGCCACTTTGGATGGACGCGTTGGTTTTCAGGGGTAATAGTAGATTCCTACACCGCAGTTATTTGGACTCATTAGTAATTTTACTAGTGATTTTACTGTTTGACCTTTTCTTGGACTACGGATTAATTGACTAATTTTGACTGTCTTTCAATTAACTAGTATTCTATCTTGTGACGTATCGCAGCTAGGAATTGTGTTGTATAGCGTCTTTAACTGTTTAACTATCTTTAACTATTTATCATTTTGTAACTTGTTGTTGGCTTTTATTTTCGAAGATTGAATTCCTAGAATATCGAGAATAAGACGGGATTTATTTTATTATATTTTATTTGTGATTAAATTTTCGACTTGGAATTATTTTATTATTAAAATTATTTTTTTTAAATAATTTTTCGGACCAGCATTGTGGGACCCAGCTGCCTCCGCGGTTGATATACTAAGCTGTCGGCAGCTGTTCCGTCGCTGGTTGATTCTGTGGAATTCGAATGTTAGTTTTTGTGCGTCTTGGGAGAAAACGTACTAGCGCCCACCTTTTTGGTTATAAGATTGGTCGCCGAGGGCTGCGGATTTTTGTCTCGTGTCCGCAGAGGGGCAAAATACGTCACAGTACATTAATAAATTTCTCATGAAAAAAAAAATCCTAAAATTGGATGCAAAATGAAAAATTTAGAAAAATTCTACTTCAGAAAACCGATGTATTAGAATGACGGCACAAACCTATTGTATGGAAATTTGAAATGTCCTGAAGACTCGAATTTGTCGAGGAGGCTGTATGGAATATTTGAGATTCTAATTCTGATCCATTGTATTCCGTCGCGCATTGATTCAACGTTGGCCCGTATCTTCCAACTGCGCCACAATTCGTTACTCTGATCACTGAAAATACATTAAGTTAAATTACACAAGTGAGGGAATTTCATTCAAAAATAGAACACAGAACTCTGTTCGCTAACCACGCTAATTCACCTGTTTCATTCATAAAGTCGAAATGTTGTTTAATTTGATGCTCGGACTCTATAACTGGATTATAGTAATTGAAGTCGCCCACTACGTCCCGTGGTACGCCTGAGTAAATTGGAGAGAAAAAATAATGGCTATCGATTGTTTTATTCATTACTTGTTCTATTATAAAGAAGTTTTTATGTTTTGCTTACCAATACCAAAGCACTCGGGACTCAATGAAAAATCATCTATGGCTACATCCGCCTTCGCTGCGAAGCTCTTGCTCGCTTCGAATTGCAGAAAATATCTGGTGATTAAAATTATTCAGTCGTTATTGCAATTTACGTATCAATAACAATATTTTAAGGTTATAGTGATAGATAAGTTTCAGTCAAAGCTGAGTTTTCTGGTTATTCAATATTCATTCATTTCCACAGCAATGAATTTGAAAGAAAAATATCAAGGACCTTTAACTTTCTACGGGGACACTGGGGTTACTGATTATCCCACTGCTTTTTCACTTGATTATCGAGATACACGGCAGTGTATCGGCCAAGGAAAAATTTGACTCTGACTGTCCAACACCTCAGGCCGAGCGCTGCCGAGTATCTATACACGAAGTAACTACCCCCTTCACTACCTCCGGATATAGTGCTTGCCTCTTCAATAGCGAGAGGATGTAACCACAACGAACAGAAGAAGAAGAAGATTACCTCCGAATCATGCCTATTCAATAAAATAAAAACGAGATGAGCTACTACAGAGGAAAATTACTGTATTGGACGAATACTCATATGGCCCTGTTGCCCTAATAGAATACTCAGTATTGCGTTTGGTGTACATCTGGGTAAGTATTTCCATGTCAATTGTTAATATTTTTGCAGTCGCGGTATCATCCTTCTGGTAAATTGATTCTGTATGTGGAACGATTTTTCGATTCTTGCGAATATGTTCATCAGCGAAGACATAACAAAGCTTTTTAGAAACTGTATTTTCCAAGATGTTTCACCGTCTTCTGAACGTTTTAGCCTTTGCTTCATGTCACGGTACCCCACTTTTTACACGTTTTGTAGTGGTATGCGTACGCTAGCGTGTTTCTCTAAGGGTGCACTAATATGCGGACGGACCCCCCACTCCACTCATACCAAAACGATTCGAGACTTACGCGAAGTAATGGGTTAAATGAATTTTTCGTTTACTGAAAGAAAAAATTTCCTCTGCCAAAAAATTATGTTCCACGTGAGAAAATTTGAATGAAATTAATTAACTTGATAACTAACGGTTGTGGCTGTGTGGTTAAAGCATAGGATTGGCATGCGGGAGACCCGGGTTCGATTCCAAGCTGGGAGGGCCAGAATGTGTGACACTTTAAATCTCACGGTTTCATTTGTCGAGCGGGAGTCTCGCAAGAGACAACGACCTGGGCAGGTTTTCCCCTCAAGTGAGGTTTTCCCTTGTCCTTCGGCGAATGCGGTACAGGGGGTTGGGAATAGAAAGGATGCAAATCGTAAAAATCCGAAAGGGTATACGAGAGAAAAAACAATTAACTTGATAGAAGAAAATTCAAGATCTTTTAGAAAAATAAAGTTTTTTTCATGACCATTAGAAATATTTCCAAGGAATTCGAAATGTCGGTAGGAAAATATAATCTATCAAATCACAATCATTTGATCTGAGAGAACCCCATAAGATTCTACTATAAGAAGAATACATTGATAATGAACGAATACTGTTTTGCTATTTGTGCCGTGGAAATTGTAAATATTTATAGGAAAAATATATATACTCCCCAATAACATTTATTTGATAAAACCGGAGTCTCAGATAATTCTCTGTAGAATTAATGTAATTGTCCAAAAGACACATAAACGTTTCACGCAAACAATTGCTACTAGTCTAATAGAAGGATTTACTTGCTGCTAACGATTAGGTATGTTACTTAATTTTTACAGATTTTTTCTTCGAGCTTAAAATTATATTTAAAATAGAAATATATTCACGGTCTTTTCTGGTTTTGAAAGGATCGGACAAAAGGTTCCAGAACACGGAATAACAATTCTATGTAAGTTACATAACCTTTCAGAATAGCAGAGTTACGATGGCAACTGATAAACAGCACATTCGGCACTGCATTTTATACGAATTCCAACAAGGAAAAAATGCTTCTGAAGCACGGGAATCAATGTGTAGTATTCTTGGTGCCGACGTTGTATCTTATGAAATGTGTAATTATTGGTACAAACGTTTTAGAAGTGGTGATTTCGATCTGAGTGACCAGCCGCGTCCTGGACAGCCTCGAAAGTTTACAGATGCGGGATTGCAAGCTCTACTGGATGAAGACTCAATGCAAACGCAATAAAAACTTGCATCTTAGTTAGGACTCACCCGAACAACTATTTCCAAGAGTTTGCGTCAAATGGGAAAAATCCAAAAACTTGGAAAGAACTCCAAAAGCTCCTGAAGCACGGGAATCAATGTGTAGTGTTCTTGGTGCTGACGTTGTATCTTATGAAACGTGTAATTATTGGTACAAGCGTTTCAGAAGTGGTGATTTCGATCTGAGTAACCAGCCGCATCCTAGGCAGCCTTGAAAGTTTACAGATGCGGAATTGCAAGCTCTACTGGATGAAGACTCAACGCAAACGCAACAAGAGCTTGCAGCTCACTTAGGAGTCACCTGAACGGTTATGTCTAAGCGTTTGCGTCAAATGGAAAAAATCCAAAAACTTGGAAGGTGGGTCCCACATGTGTTGACCGAACGCAGCCTAGGTCAACGTATGAACACGTGCCTTTCATTGCTTGCCCGGCAACAAAAAAAAAGACTTCTTGTGGAGAATTGTGACGGGTGATGAAAAGTATATTTGTTACGAGAATCTCAAACGTAAAATGTCGTGGGTAGATCCCGGACAATCCAGAATATCGACGGCGCAACAGAACATCCACTTGAAGAACATTCTCCTGTGTATCTGGTGGGACAGGAAGGGTTTGCTTTATTACGAACTCCTGGAAACAGGTCAGACGGTAACTGCGGAATGCTACAGCCGACAACTGAACAAACTGAGCGAAGAACTTGATCGGAAAAGGCTATTTAATGGGCAAGGAAGCATCCAAGTCATACTGCTGCATGATAATGCTCGACCTCACGTTAGTCGCGCGACTCAGAAGACCCTCTTAAACTTGGGATGGGAAGTTTTCTCGCACGCGCCATATTCACCAGACTTGGCCCCATCCGACTATCACTTGTTTCGGTTCATGCAGCACGCCTTAGTGGATAAACAGTTTAAAAGGCTGGACGATGTACGTAAATTCGTCGATGACTTCATCGCCTCGAAGCCTATAAGTTTCTTTCGCGATGGCATTTGAATTTTACCTGAGAGATGGCGCAAGGTCATAGAAAACGATGGACAATATTTCCAAGATTAAATTCGTTGTTCTGTATTTTTTTATATTGCATAAATTTACTGAAAAATCTGTTAAAAGAAAGTCACACACCTAATATTAACGCCATTTATTAATGGTTAACAAATGGCATTATTACTTAACAAACTTCGTAACAGCAATTAAATTAATCCATCGTTTCCATCAGTGTATGAAAATTATCATGTTTCGGTGCATGCGTTCTTCATTGTCTACAAATAAATTGATTCAATACGACAAAAAATCTCTTCCATAAAGCATAGAATTTTTCGGCAGAACGAATTTTTGCCCCCGACGATAACCACAGGAGGCGTATATGCATTTTAATACTGCCGGCTCTATTCCCTGAGATATCTGAAGTAGCCTAACTCGACCAAAAATCAATTGTAACGAGATTGTCTCGTTAATGTAAACTGTTTTACCAACGCGAAAACCCATGAGACAAGAATGGTTAGAGTGAGGGACAGAGAAGAGAGCGACATCTAACGCCAGCTGAAGAAGCTGAGCGAGAGATGAGAGTGACATCGAACGGCGGTTTAAGTGAACCACGCGTGAGGTGAATAGACCAATCAAATAATGCCAAGAGGCGTCGTTTGGGTGAAACCATGCTTCTGAATATTATAGAGAGGCTGTCGATACCTTGTCGCCTTCTCTAGAAACTCACCCAGCTGTATTTGGGGGAAACGGGCCAACGTACTGGCGTTCCAACTGGGCGATTCTAGAGGCGCTATCGACTTAGACTAGGGACCAACGGCTAGGTGAGAGGACTAGCGCCCCCTCGATTGCCGTCGAGCTGATTGGTGGTGGTGGGGTAACGGATGACCCACCGCCGCTGAGATGTTCAAACTAGGGGGAGAAGGCCTTAGTAGATTTCGGGACAGTCGGTGACAGGCACTGGAGTCAAGCGGATGAAAATCGTCCGGTCCTCGACGACGGTCGTAAGTGGCATTAATCAGTTATGGATTATGGGGGTCGATTGTGATGACAAAATTCGGAACAGCGAGAGAATGGGACGCTTCGGTGTCCCAAACAGAATGATCGGATTACTTTAGGGACGTGGGGTGTTTTAATTCCATGTTCCCAGGAATCCATCACTTCGGACGAAAGAAGTGGTGTTGGCGTGGATCCGTGGGCCGGGAGTTAGGCCGACTCCTGGAGACCCGATCGCACGTGCCTCCACGACGAGTAATCTCGGTGTTGGCCCGCGATGATAGTGCTTTTACCGAGCATTGAGGTTGTGTTGGGGTGGGCACAGGTGGGTGAGAATAAGTCTCCGGATACCTGTGTCGCATGTGCCTCTCAGTGTTCGGCGCTCCGAGGAGTGAGAAGGATTCGCAGGTAATGGTCGACTTCTCCAGAGTTGAGCCACTCTGGGGAGGACAGGAATACGTCAGAGGAATGGAAACATCGTCGGCGAAAGATACATGGAGGAATGGCTCCTGGAAGATACGCTTTATCGAGGTCTCTCGGCTGAAAAGACGAAGATCGATCGAGTAAATTACTCCAAGTATGGTGGACCTCGCCCACTCTACCATTTTACGCTGATGCTGGCTCGGCATTGTTAGTCCCGCCACGAGAAGTCCTCAGGGTAGACGAGTTATCCTCTGAGGCCGGTTTACCGTTGGATTTTCCGTGAAAATCCAGCTGGCACCCGACATAATTTAGCGATAGAGGAGATGCCCAAATAGTTTGGGATATTTGCTGGTGAAGCCCCGGCGAAAATCGCTTACACAATAAAAGCAGATGTTTTTGCACTTGAAAAAAACCACCATTTAAAGGATGGTTGTTAGAATACTGGTTCAAAAGCCCATCATTATTATTATTACATAATAATAATCCGATAAAATTTGTAGTCTCCAATTTTCAATACCTGTCGTTCACTCTACACTG